CTGCCCTCGCCTGAAGGGGGTGGGTGAGGGGGGGGGGGGGGGGTGTGGGTGGGTGGGTGGGGGGGGGGGGTCCCCTTAGGGGAGAAAAATGGGGGGAAGCAATCCCCGAAGGCGCCTCTTTGTACGGGTCGTCAAGCCCCACGCCCCCCGTTACTAAAGCTAAACCCCTTGGCAGGGAAAAAGGGGGAGGGACCTTTTGGTATAAGGGGGGCCGCGCCGTAATAAACCGCACTCCGAAACTAGGGGACTAAACCCCTTTATAGGGGGGGGCCGTCTCCCCCGTAATCTGTCGGCAGGAGCGGGTCGGCGTGGTAAAAGCCTTGCCAGGGAGGAGGAGGAGGAGGAGGGGTGTGCCCCCGTGTGTGTGTGTGTGTCTGTGTGCCTGTGTGTGTGTGTGTGTGTGTGTGTGTGTGTGTGAGGGGAGAGAAAAAGAAAAAGAGAAAGAGAGAGAGAGAAAGAGAGAGAGAGAGAGAGAGAGAGAGAGAGAGAGAGTCACTCTCTCTCTCTCTGTCGGGTGTGAGCGTGGGAGACGGTGTGTGGCCAAAAGCAGCGATATCTCCTCTCAATCTCAGATATCTCGTCTCAATCTCCCCCACACCGTCGTCGGGTGGCGGCGTTCCGACGGCGCGTAGCGAGGCGGGGTCGGCGGTGGGGTCCTGGAGCAGGCCGGCGGCGTGCTCGTCCATGGCTCGATCTCTGCAAGACGGGGTGCGGGGTGGGGGGGGGAGAGTTGAGTGTGTGGGTGGGTGAGTGAGTGTGTTGTCGTTGCGGCTTGCCGTGCTCGCGACACTCTGCGAAAGGAAGGAGGAGAAGGGGGGCCGAGAAGGAGAGGGAGGAGACGGGAGGAGCTGGAAGCGGCGGGGCAACCGAGCCGCGCGGCGGCAAGGCGGCGGTCCGGATTGCGGGATGTGTATTGCAAGTGCGTTTTGCTGAGAGGCGCGGCGGCGGCGAGAGAGAGAGGGCCCACCAGCCAGCTGTTGGGGCTGGCGAGGTGCTGCGGGAGGGGAGGGACCGCCGCGCGTCTGTGCACGGCCGCAGATCGCGTGCCTCGGCGAGCTCACCCCACACAAGCCCCTCTGCAATCTCACGACCTGCATATCTCTCGGACGCGCGCGACGATGTTCGCGGTGAGGTGTGTCTTGAAGGGGGGCGCGGCCAAACGGAGGAGTGGGCGCGGCTCGCGGGAGGGGCAAGGGCTCCGGCGCGAGGGGCTCGGGTGCCGGGCCCCTTTTCTCTCCCGGGACGGACCTTCGTTCGGATCAGTCAGCAGCGCCTGGTGAAGCAGTCGCCGCAATGAGGCGCCCTCGAGAAGACCGTCGATGACCGTGAACAAAGATTCTCCCATTTCTTTTCTCTCGAGGTTCTCGAGGTGGATATCCTTTGGCCGCGTTGGGTAGCGAGGATTGGTGTAACCCGAGCCACGGAGGCGTGTTTTCTGGCGGCCGACCGTCAGTGCACGGAGTTGCCACTTCTCCGACTGCCCCGGCTAGTTCCCGAGGCTCGCCGGGTTTCCCCTACGTCACCCAGGACCTAGCGCGGGTGGGTTGGAGGGGGCTCGCCCCGTTCCTCCCCATCGGGCCGCATAAGCGGCCACGCCTCGCAGATTCGTTTCTCGCGCCTGGGTCAGGCGCGCGGGGCATCCCCCGGGTCGCTCGACCAGCGATCCGAAGAGTGGCCGCTATGCGAAGGAAAGAGTGGGGCCCTCGGGGTACGCCTCGTCCGGCCCCCTCCGAGGGGGGAAGGGAACTGCGGGGTCCCCACGGGCGCCTCAGTTCGGCCCTCCCGAGGGGGGGAGGGGAGCAAGGGGGTGGGGGGGTCGGACTCTACTATAGGCCCCCTCGACGCCCACTTCGAGTTCTACTCAGCTAAGGGCCGCACTTGACGCTGTAAGCAGCGCGCGGCGGAGCAGTGGCGCTTGTGGTGAAACATGGGAATCTAGCCCAAGGTCGGAGAGTCGTGTCATAGGAGAGGAGAGAGTGTGGAGATGTTTTGTGCGGGATCAGGCCCGAGTCCCTAGTGTCGCCGGAGCGGGTAGCTCCCTTTTTCGTAACAGGAACATTTTTTTTCCTTCTGTCTCGACAATCTCTACCAGCAGACGCCAGTAGTCTTTTTGAATGTCCTCCGTTGCTATGCGCAGTAAGTATCCGTCGTAGGTCCGAGCCGACCGCCTTGCCCTTTTTGAATCGTCTTATGGCCTTCTCGCACGCCGCCCACGTGAGTACCTCCTCCTTCAATCGTTCCGTCCCCTCGCTCGGTGTGGGTTGTCCCCCCGTCTGGGTTGGGTCAGTTCTAGCAGCTTCTCTACCGCCCTCATGTCGACCTCTCGCCTCTTATTGATCTCCCTCCCCCTTTCCGCTGCCACCTTTCGGATTGCCCCCCCTCGGACAACCTTTCGCTTCTTCACCTCTCCTCTTTCAGCCCTTCTATGCGGGCGCGCACGGCGCCTGGTCGGCGGGCTGCTGGGCAAAGACGTGGGTCCTCTACCCCCTTCCCAGCTCTCGTTTGCGCGCATCCACCATCGCGTGAGGACGTGACAGTCTGACTGGGACACGACCCCGGCAGGTCGCCGACCACACTCCAGTCTCCACACCTCCACTCTCTCTAAAGAACCCTGCCACAAAAACCTAAATCGGACCGCTGACCGCACGGGCGCCGGCGCGGCCGGTTACCTGTTCATCGAATCCCATGTGCATGGAGTGACGCGCACACGCTTGGCACACGCTTGGCGGGCTGTGTCGGCGGCGGCGGGGCCCGCGCTCGGGGGCGGCGGCGCGCTTCACCACCGTACACGCCTACAGTACGAGTAGAGTCTACTGACTACTGATGTAGGAACGATTAGCGAGTGTGCAGCTCGCAGCGGTTCGCGAATTCTTTTCTTTCTGCTGTGTCTGTTTTTATCGCAAGTTCGGAAATCCAGTGCCGCCCGGCGGCAATAACAAAGAACAATGAACACATCGTTCAGAGTTCACGTCCCGCGGGGACTCGTCGACTCTCTCTCTCTCTCTCTCTCTCTCTCTCTCTCTCTCTCTCTCTCTGGCTCTCTCTCTCTCTCTCTCTCTCTCT